CAGTTCATCTACCTTTCCAAAGTCTGGGCACTCTGCTGCAGAAGCCTTTGGGGTTGTTATGATAGATAACCAAACAGCAAAAAGATCGAGGCATAGCAGGAAAATTCCCTTCAATTTACTGGTTGAGAGTATCCAGAGAAGTAAAACGACTGTAATTTGAACTCAGGTTCTTAGACTCTAAATGCAGTGTACCACATTGTCTACCAGGATATAGACAACACCCTAACCCTTTCCAGTTATTTTTGTTTTACATCCACTAATGAGAAAGTACAGTTGTTGTACTGGAAAAGATTGGGCACAAAGCTGCCTTAGATAACATGTTGAACTGAAGTCTTGCCCCCTGTTAGGAATTAGGTATATGATGTCATCGGGGCATTATCTTCAAATACAAACAGTTTGTAATAATTTGGGAAGAGGTGGATAGGTAGGGTGCAGAGTCACCTGGCTACATGGTGAATGACATTTAGTCAGTAAAATATAATTACTTTGAATAATTATAAAGACTTAAGATTCATCGTGAATTACATGAATTTACGCAAATCCCCTAAGTATTACTGTGACTTTGTAAATGTTACATTTGGGCACTTCCAATGGTCAAAGAGTAATGCTGTTTTCTAGGGTTAATTTCTAATGCTTAAGGAGTGCTTTCAACAAGCTCACATTTCTTCAGCCATTTATTAAGGGAACAGATGGTAATAGAAGCACTGTTATCCACAGAAGCAGATTTATCTCGTCTGTCTGATATCTCTAGGTAAATGACCTTAAGCTGGTCACAAATAGTCACATGACAGCAATGTGGTCCAGAGGTCTCCCAGGAAGCCAGTCATTTATTAACTCTTTTGTGCTTGGACAGTGAGATAACATCTTTGAAGTAAATCGTGCTATAGATGAATCCTATTAAATTGATACTTATGTGCCTTAAGAAAAATAATCCTAAGCTCTTGTGTGCTTTTGGATATATTAGAATATTTTATTTTAGTACCTCTAATTAGCATAATTAAAAAAAATTTTTTAAGGAAAAGAAAAAAAGAAATGATTTCTCCTAAAGACTGTTGAGGCTGGATTTTTACTTTGCTGTACAGCCCTCACTACCCTAAAAGGGGCCAGCAGAGCCAAGCCACCACCTTGATTCGTTGCCATGCAACGGTAACAGCCTGTGGGCTCAAATTCTTCTCCATTATGCCTAAAGAGAATGATGGGGGGAAACAAAATTATTTTCTGCTTCCTTGCTGGATGCCTTGTTTTCTGTCCCCCTCCCTTTTAGTGATTCTATGTGCATTTTGTTGCATAAAGTATGTGCTCTCTGTGATTTATCTTCTATTATGAAAAGCTGAGATTCACACTTGGTGTGGATCAGATCGTACATACTGTCCGGCAGATCTGAGACTGGCTGTGAAAGGCTGACCTCGTCAAACTCCATCCTGGAAACTGCCTTGCTGTGAATATTCACCTGCAGGAACTACAGCTGTGTGCTTGCTGCCAGCCAGCATTTTTCCCCCCGTCTACATTATGCTTTTTTGAATGTACTGCTTCTTTGAAAGCCATCTTACCCAGCTGCCTTCCCACTAAATGCACCTACATCCTCTCTTCTCTCTTTTAAGTATGGAGAACACATAAAATAGAAATAGAATAGGTGGAGGCACTAGAAATGTCCTTTCCATAATGCTCAGTACTTTCCTGAAGTTGGTTCTCCCACTCCATTCCATCCTAGATCATACTGAAGACACTGGCTGATGGTGCAGCTACTGAGTATCAATTATGATGAGTCTCTAGCCTTTCTCTTTCTTTCCTTGTTTTCTCTATCTTTCTCTCTTTCCTTTTTTCCCTTTTCCTTTCTTCCTTCATTCCTTTGTTCCTTCCTTCTTTCCTTTCCTTTTCTTCTTTCTTTCTTTTTCTCTTTCTTTCTTTCTTTCTTTCTTTCTTTCTTTCTTTCTTTCTTTCTTTCTTTCTTTCTTCTCTTTCTTTCTTTCTTTCTTTCTTTCTTTCTTTCTTTCTTTCTTTCTTTCTTTCTTCTTTCTTTCTTCCTTCCTTCCTTTCTTTCTTTCTTTCTTTCTTTCTTTCTTTCTTTCTTTTTTCTTTCTTTCTTCTTCCTTCCTTCCTTCCTTCCTTCCTTCCTTCCTTCCTTCCTTCCTTCCTTCCTCCTTCTTTCTTCTTCTTCTTTCTTTCTTTTTCTTTCTCTTCTTTCTTTCTTTTTTCTTCTTTCTTTCTTTCTTTCTTCTTTCTTTCTTCTTTCTTTCTTCTTCTTTCTTTCTTTCTTTCTTTCTTTCTTTCTTTCTTTCTTTCTTTCTTTCTTTCTTTCTTTCTTTCTTTTCCCCTCTTCCTTCCTTCCTTGCACCTATGATGGAGGCTAGCCCATGGAAAGTCAGCATAGACTTGTGGAAAGACAGCTGACTAGAATCAAAAGACCTGAGTCCAGATCCTGGCTCTGATAATTCTATCTGGGTAGACTTTGGAAAGTCATTTAAATGCTCTGACTTTCATTTCCTTATTTTTACAAATGAGGAGGCTTGATTAATGGCCTCTCAAGTTCCTTCCAGCTTTAAGTCTACAGTCTATGGAGTCTGTGAAAGTTCTACTGTCAAGGGAGATGTTTCTAAGAACCCCTTATGAAAATCTCTCCCCAGGCTTTGTCAGGTAACATTTTGTACTCCATCTCATCAATGCAGCAAGCTCCTCGAGAGTGAGAACTGTTTTATGTGTTGTATCTCTCACAACACCTAGCATGGTGCCTTGTGGGTAGGGGACATTCAACAAATGTTCATTAAATGAAATTGAATTTGAATTGTCTGTCCACCCTCAAAGCTTTTTACTCAGAGCTGGCTACATAGATGTAAAAGATGGAAGAATCCCTGTTGAACCATCATCTGTAAATGTAAAGGATGCTTTCTCAGAATAACACAGTATTATAGGACATCATTCTTTTCAAGTCAGATGAATCTGGTATGTATTACTGACAATGGTCAGAGACAAGCCAGAGATATTATATAATCATTTGTTGAGATACAAATCTCCTAGTGACAATGTTAAGTCAAAACATACTAAAAAATTCCTGAGATAGTTAACTAGTGAACATGAAACCATCACAGCTGCAGAGATAACTGGTTTCATTTTGATAGACCTTGGCTTCCTCATTTTTGGGATACAATGTTTGAGTTATTTATTTTTCTGCACAGGATTCTACAATATTTCTATTAAGGGGAGCAGCTATGTCCATAAATTCTACTGCATTATTAGTTAATCAAATAGCAGAATGTCTGGTCTGTTCATCAGGATTTGTCAGTCTGTTGGGATGGCATTATTCCAGTGTGCATGATAATAGCTATTTTCTAAAATATTCTTAGCTTCATACTTAGAGAACTGTATTAATTCTTGTATCAATTACATTTAAGAGCTATTACTCATGGAAAATCTTAGCCAAACTGTTATGGCTGTTTGTAAAATTCAGAGCTGCAAATGTCAGATGACCTCTTTTACTCAATGTATGTGTTCTATGTCTCTCACAGACTTGCCAACAGCTTTGGCAATGCCAAAGATCTCAAGTTTCCTGAGTGGTGATTGACTCTCCCAAGACCACTACTTCAGGAAAGCCCCAGTGACCAGGCTTCTCTTCACTCCCCACTCTCTGGTCATCTCTTCTAATATAAATAATTTCATTGCTACAATGTACAGACATACAGTTCCTTTTCTCACCACCTACCCCGCCCCAACCCCAGTTCTGGAATCATTCAAGTCTTCCAACGTTTCTGGATGGGATATGTCGACTCACTATCCCTTTAACTCCCTGGACCAATGTGTTTCTCCTTGGCCACCATTCTCTTTGAGTATTGTTTTAACAATTAGGATGGCAACTCCTTGAGAACAGGGATTATCTTTTTTTTTTTTTAAATAATCCCTACTACTTAGCACAATGTATAATACATAGTAATTGCTTAATGTGTCATGCCTAATAACTGCACAGTGCACAACTGCACAATGTGTAACACATAGTAACTGCTTAATAAATACTTTCTCTTCCTCTCATTCATTCCTTCATTTATTCATTTGCTCATTCATTCAGGAGCTACTGAATGAACAGCTGCCAGGAAGCTGGTGGTGATGTGGCAGATAAAGCCCTGGGCCTGGAGTCCAAAAGATGAGTCCAAACACAGCCTCAGACACTTACTAGGTGTGTCCCTGGGCAAATCACTTACCCTCTGTTTGCTTAGTTTCTTCAACTTTAAAATGAGGATAATAGTAACACCTGTCCCACAGGGTTGTTGTAAGGATCACATAAAATAATATTTGTAAAAAAAACTACAACAAAACTTAAAAAACAAAAAAAACCCTTGGCACATTTCCTGGCACATAGTAGGCGCTATATAAATGCATATCCCCTTCCTTCTCCCCTCTTATTCACTATCTTGCTTTAATTTGGATTTGTGATTTCATTGCTCTTGGCTCAGTCCACTGATGAGGGGACTTTTGTAATCTTTTCAGCTTCAGTCACTCTTGCCAGGGCCTGTGCTCCAGGATTAGTGGTCATGAACTCAGGACCAATGTCCAGGCCAAAATAAGGCATCATAGACCTTTAATGGAAGTCTATTATCCATTTTTTTTTACTATTGTTTTTATTTCTCGTGGGTTTTTCAAAGAAGCACCAATTCCAAACTAAACATCTCAAATCCAATATGGTAACATGGATGTGAAAGACTATATATGCAATAATCATTTGGGAGAACCCTCCCATTTATCCTGCTTATTAATGCAAGCTGCTCATTACAGCTCTATACAATTACCTAATATGGCAAATTGGCCATGATTGCCATGTAAAAAAATCTTGCAAAGACTATGTGTCCAAACAGTGTTTAATTTCTTTGACCATTGCAGATTGAATTGATTTGCTTATCTCCTGGTAGGCTAGTAAAATAAACATCAGAACCTATAGGCTGGTCAATTTGGCCATACACATGTATCAGGCTTTTTAGCTCTACTCTGAACTGGTTCCCATATAGCCTTCTTGCCTGTCAAGGTGACACATAACTGTCTTGGAGCCGTCTGCCCCAGTGTCTTGCAAGATTCATATAATTTTTTTTTCTTTTTAGGCAATTGGGGTTAAGTGACTTGCCCAGGGTCACACAGCTAGTAAGTGTGAAGTGTTTGGTCTGAGGCTGGATTTGAACTCAGGTCCTCCTGACTTCAGGGCTGGTGCTCTATCCACTGCACCACCTAGCTGCCCCAAGATTCATATAATCTTAAAGGGTAAGTGTGGATTCCTACCAGGGTGGATGAGAGCTGGGCATCCAAGCAGAGACTGTGCATGGACTGTTGCCTGAAGTATCTTATTCTCACTTGTGGTGAGAGGCCAGGAGCAGCCAATTTCTCCAATGACTCCACATTTGATGTTGGGCCCATCAGCTGCATGTAGTATTTCATTAATAAGAATATCAGCCAGCTAAAGAAGAATCAGAACACCTTAAAACAAAAGGATATGTAAAAGCATGTGGTGAAGAAATCTATTCAGCAAATATTTAATTCAACACCCATTTATTGAACACCTATTAGGTAAGAGGTACTATTAAGGATGAAACAAGGTTACATAATTCTTCCAACTCAAAGACTTAAGGCACATTTGCAATAGATTTTTGAGTGAGATGGGAGAAGGGTAGGAGACGGGATTCCAGGTTGGTAATTTCATTGGTTTATGGAAATTTGTTCCACTGATATAAAGAGGTAATTCAACTCATCTTGTTTGAAGTTTGCCTGGGTGCACTGGGAGCTTAAACAACTTGCTCATGACCAGTTGTGTTTGTCTTTTGTTCTCAGAGAGGACCAATGACATCACCTGGGTGATGTCTTGACTTGCGAGTGAATTGGATTTAAGTGAGGCAGAGCTGTGCAAAGTCATCAGCCTTACTCTCTACTCCAGAGTTACCAAATCCCGAGGCAGGACTGAAGTCAGGACGACCGTGAAGGACCAGGATGCAGCGGATGACCTTGGCCTTTCAAAATTAACATCTTTTGCAGGCCTCAGTTTGTCTGAGGCAACACCCATTCAATAACTAAGGGCTGAGTAAGAACTGAGACAAAAGATGGCCTAGTTTACCATCACAAAAATATCATTTTTTTTTGTCTCACAGTCAGTATGTGTCAGAGGCAGAATCTGAAACAAGATTTTCCTGATTTCAAGACTAGCACGATAGCATGCTGTTTCTCTTGCTATAAATATTTAACTTAAAACCCATGACTTTAAGATCAATTAACCAAATGAAGGAAAGAGCAATTAGGTAATGTGTGGATTGAGAAAGTAGTCTAATCCCCAAACTGAAGTATCTGGCAGACAAAGGGACGGCTATGGAATAAATTAAGCCTACAGTGAACAAATCTGTTATTCCATCTTATTTATTCAATCCTTTACCCCATACAAACAGAAAATACTATACACAATACACTTGTCCCATAACATTATACGTTTTGGTTCATGCATTTAAGATGGTTGTTAAAAGTAATTGGGAATGTGTGCAAGCACTGCTGGGAGAATAGAATCCAGAGAACACAGTCCATTCAATTTTACCTATATATTTTGGAAAAGTAAAATCCTCAAGACTGAAGAAATGGAGAATTATAATTTTGAAAATGAACCTTCTGTCAAACAAGTTTTAAAGATTAATTGTTCCTTGCAAAAATTGCAGCTACTCTGCTATTGAATAGATGATGGTAAATATATGCTTAGGGCATTGTTTCGCTATTTCCCCCCCATCCCTTAAAGAGTCATTCTTACTTTTCTTCTGTGAACTCATCCTTCTTACTCAATAACATAATAGAGATAAAAACAGATGAGTAGATTCTCCTCCTCAATCCCTCCAACCCTCAACTTTGTAAAAGGAGAGGTAAAAAAAATTCACAAACTTGCCAAGTCTCTGCCTGCCAAGTTTCACCCTACAGTGAATTTTTACTGCTGGGTTATTATAAAATCGTGAAGGAAAATTGAGCTTGTATAACTGAGGTTTATAATGGAAAACTGAGTTTTATAAACAGGCCATGGTACCACTACTGAGCAATGATACAATACATGTGAAATATAATTATCATTATTTTGAATCTTTCAACATAGGGTACATCAAAATTTTCTTTGTCCAAAGTTTTCTTTATGAAATATTAATGATCTGGCATTCAATCTCCCTCTCCTTCTGTGCCCCTGTGCCTCTGTAGCACGCATCACTACCTTTGAACCAATGAGATTTTCATTTGTGGCTGAAGTTCACCAATAAACAAGGAGGTAAAGGCAAGACTACTTTAATCTCATGTACAGATATTGACTAAGAATTGTTTACCTGTTCTATTGACATGGCACCTGTTCTGTTCTGGAGAATGTGTGGCATCCACATAAAATCCAGCCCCAGAGATGATATGGACCCCAGTCTCTTCCATAAACCACTAAGTCCAGCAGTTGTGTTTCCCACCAGAGGCCTCCCACCATTAGCTTTGTAATTTAGGAGCTCTTCCTTGATGGCTTCAGTCTCCTGATTTAGTTGAACGTTCCCCTTGTGGGAATATGGGTTCTTCTGAATCCAAAACAAGTTCTTTGTCACAAAGTGTTCCTTAGGCAAAGCTTCTTGGCCTGAAGAGTGAGGGGAGTAGCTTCAGTCAAAGGTAATGGTCAATTGTTCATAGGTTAAGGTCCGGCCAAGCTGATCTGGTTCCATAAGGCCCCAAACTGTCTGCACTTTGCCACTTAAGGAAGCCATTTCCAAGGATAGGATTTTAACAAAACTATTTTTGAAAAAGAAAGAAGAAAAGTAGGCAGGTAAAATCTAACAGAAACACAAACCCCTCCCATCCATGGGAGGATGTGTGATTAGGAGCAGACACCTGAGACTGAATCAATGAAATTAGAGATGTCATCTCACTTATCATCCTGCCAAAGTTAGGCTCTTTCTTACTATGTATTTTTGGAGCACTTAAAGTCCAGTCCAGTTTTAAGTGACAAGGGTGATATAGAAGGCTCATACCACTTCCATTGGGATACTACTGCAAGATCTAATCATAGCCCCATCTGGAGGAAATATTTCTTGATATTCAGTCCACATTTTTCTTTCACTTAATTTCATCTCATTAGTCTTAGCTATGCCCTTTCAGATCACCCTACTGCAATCCTCATTTTTCTTGCCCTCTCTAACCTTCAAGGTTTATACCAAGTTAAGAAGACTCTTCCATTAGTCAACGTTCAGGTAAGGCATGCTTCTTACTCTACATTGTGCTCTTAAAAATAAGCTGGGAAAAGGAATCACATCCCACTTGACATAGATTTTTCAGTATTTAGAGCAGATAAGGAGAGATCTTAGGAAATATTTTAGTCCAACACTGTCATCACACGTACTGAAATTGAGGTCCAGTGAGATTATAAATCATGCCCATGTCACACAGGTAGCAAGAAACAGAGTTGGAATTAGATGACTCAAAACCAATCTCATGTCAAATATTCTTTACTATGGATATTATGGTGGTTGTAGGGTGCATAAGGAAGGCTTTCTGCAAATCTCAAAAGCTGCTTTATAGATAACAATTCTCAGTTATGTGTGAAAATCTTATTTTCATTGACAAGAACTTGATGATTCAATCTGTTAACAATGATTTAAGTGTACATCAAATCTGTGTTCTTACTGCATAGATACCTAGGAGTTCTCACGAGGGGACAGAAGGGTGAACTCACATTTAGGAAGACCTGGGTTTGAATTCTGCCTCAGACACTTAGTAGTTTTATGATTAGGGGTGGGGGGAGATCAGTTACTCTATGAACCTCAGTTTCTTCACTTGTTAGTGGAAATAATGACAGAACCAACCATACAAGGTGGGAGTGAGGCTTAAATGAAATAATGTATGTAAAACACTTTGTAAACATTGAAGTGTTATAGAAATGCCAGCTGTTATTTTTAAAAAGGAAACATAGGATCCCAGATTTAGAGCTATAAGGGACCATCTGGTCCAGGGGCTATTAACTTTTTTGTTATGTCATAGACCTATTTGAAGCCCATGGACCTGTTCTCAAAATAATACATGAAAAAAAAACACATGGGATTCCAAAGGAAACAAATTCTATTGAAATAGCTATCAAAATATATATTTTTTAAAGTTCATGGACCCCAGGTTAAGAGCCCCTCATATGAGGTTGAAAAATTCTTGTCCTACAGTCTATTAGAAATTTGTGGTTCAGTCATTTTCAGTCACATTCAATTCTTTGTGACCCTATTTGGGGTTTTCATCGCAAAAATATCAGAGTAGTTTTCCATTTCCTTTTCCAGCTCATTTTCCAGATGGAGAAACTGAGACAAACAGGGTTAAGTGACTTGCTCAGGGTCACACAGCTAGTAAGTGTCTGAGGCCAGATTTGAACTTAGGAAGAGAAGTCTTTCAGATTTCAGGGCTGGTGCTCTATCCACTATGGTGCCACCTAGCTGCTAGGTTAGGAAATCTATTAGAAAACAGACTGAAAAAAGAAAACTCTGAACTTCAGGAATACAATAAATAGGTTGCATGGAAGGGGATAAATCAAGACTTTTTTTAAAAATTAGGAATATCATAGAATCCAGATTTATAAGATTTTAACAATTCAAATGTACGGATATGACTGAGCTTAAGAAAGGAGATAGCATCAATTCCAAGTTACCAACTAGTCGTCAGTCATTGAAGTATTGTGGAGACCACCAAAATATGGGTCTGGAGGAAACCCCATGAATTTTCCTGATTGGAGGTAAACTTTGGTTGCAAGTGTAATTTATTGTGATCTGGGGCTGTAACAATAAGTCCAAGAGAAGAGAGGATAAAGTTGATGGGTGATCCCCCTCACCCCTCCACGTGGCATTTGAAATTTGAGTTGATTCAGTCATTCTATTGTATTTTTAAATCATATTAATATTGTCTTCATTTTGGTCATTTTCTATTTTGATTGGCTTGTATACTTCAACATAGATGCAAAAGCACTTTTCCCCCTATTTGGTGACTTTCTATTTCTAACTCTTGTGAGGCACATGTGAGGAGTCTAGCTTCCTTCAATACATTTTTTTCCCCCATTATCTTGTCTGGAGATACCTTAGAAAAAGTTTCCAGCATCAGTAAATATATTCAATCAGCTTTATTGGTTACAATACTACCACTGTACAAAATTAGAAAATTCCATACCAAGGTATGAAATTTTTGGATACATTAAAGTCCAATAATTTTCAAACTTTCTCAGAATGAAGCTCCTATAAGCAATACCCCACAAATGGCCCAATTTGGTTTCCAGTGTTTCAAAGTTCCTGTGCTGGATTTGCCCACAAATCTAATGTGGACCATGTACACAGCCTGCAATGCTATCATACTCTATAAAAACACAATATTTATTATTTCAATTTGACTCATAACAGCTATGTATTTATTACATGGCACTGTGTTTTAAGACGTTTCTGTCAGACTCCTCACCTTTTAAATCTTTCAGTGCAATAAATGTCCACATCCCAAGTATCCCAACTGGTAGCTCATGTTCTCAAAAACAGCAGGCATTTCTTCCTTGGAACAATGGATGGAAGGGAATTTTCTCTATGTATAAATACTTAACGTATTTCTACCTTTTCTGAGATTTATTGTAAAATGGTTCTGTTGTACATGGATTTATAACTTAAATAGTATTTTTAAAAAATCAGTAAGGATGCCTATCTAAAGATAAGGGAATGCAACCACTTCCATATAGGTGATAATAATGATATCCATCAAGTTGCCAAATGGTGACATAAACAAGCGACACTAAGCTCTTTGAAATCACCAATGAATAGTTGTTATACTCAATGGAAACCACTCCAGGATAATCAAAGGCAAATCCTGGTCTTGGAGAAATCTATTTTTTTTTTTTTGTTTTCTTGGGCTCAGTTTTTTTTTTTATTTTTTTTGGCTAAGAGATGGATGTGATCACAGAATTTGAGAGGTGAAAGTGACCTTTGTGGCCATTGAGGCCAACCCTTTCCAGAGAAGGATCCCCCTTCTGGTGTGCCTGATGTACCCGATCATTTAGCCTCTGCCTAAAGAGCTCCAAGGAGGGTGGGATCTACTCTCTCAAAGTAGCCATTCTGCTTTTTCACTTTTTTTGATATTAAATCTAAATTTGCCACTTTACAACTTCTTGTGTTGCTTGTAATTCTGCCCTCTAGGTCAAACAGAACAAATCTAATCTCCCTTCCACGTGACAGTCCTTCAAATATTTGAAAAACAGGTTATCATGCTCTCCTTGAGTCTTCTCTAGGCAAAACATTCCCGGTTCCATCAACTGATTCTCATAGAACACAAGTGATGGTATTTTCTAAATTAAGCATCAGGTAAATAAACATAATGGCAGATGTAAAACTCTTTAGAAAAGAAGGAAAGTGGCCTCCACAGAATAAGTCCCACCTGACAAATGGTTCCTCTATTGCAGGTCTCTTGGGCCATTTTCCATATACAGGAGATCTATTTTTGTTGGCTTTGTTTGTTTGTTTGTTTGTTTGTTTGGCTTGAGCAAAAATTGACAGCATTTGGAATAACTTAGTTGATTCAGTGAAAAATGAATTGATGAGTTGTTTGGCTTAACTGAAAGGTAGAATGTTGTAGTAGTAGATAGAGTGCCAGGCTTGGAGTAGGGGAGGCCTAGATTCAAGTCATACCTTTGATATATGCTAACTTTGAGACAAGATACAATTTCACTTTTCAGTGTCCCGAGCAACTGTCAAAGACAGATGTTGCACATATACATCAATGGGGAGAACTTACACATTGGAAGTTCTTTATACATTGGAAATCACAGATCCAAAGCAAAAAAAAAAATGAACTTAATTGACTGATGAATTTATTCAAAACAGTTGATCTGGTAGTCTCATGTACTCATAGCCCATCACAAAAGTTTCTTTAAAAGGCACAGCTTCCCAAAATGAATAAATAATTTCAAGAGGCAAATAATATGGGTTTCTTTAATTGGTTATCCATTTATTCAACTAAAATAAAAATATTCTCACCAAAATACAAGAAAATATTATCTCTATTCAGGTCAAAATACAATATGACTCACTAATTACTCACTATCCTAACATCCCGAAGCTACTCCAAGTGTAATCTCATTGTTGCCAAAACACTTTCTATGTAACTAACCTTTATATGTTGCTAAATTTGAAAAACCGAGATCTCAGCCTGTCTCCACGTCAGAATAAGAGCATAAAACTCAGTTTCAGTAACTGCTATGAGACTGTTGGCTGTAATTCTTTATTTCCACCAGGAACATACTTCTCCTGGAATTGAACTATACAGTACTCCTGGCTACAACACTTGTGACTTCCTCTTTCCTTCTTTCTTTTGCTTGCTTGGTGCTTCCCTCTTTTCTTCCTTCCTTCTTTCTTTTTTCTTTCTTTTTCTTTCTTCCTTTCTCCTTCCTTTTTCTTTCCTCTTCCCTTCCTTCCTTCCTTCCTTCCTTCCTTCCTTCCTTCCTTCCTTCCTCCTTCCTTCCTTCCTTCCTTCCTTCCTTCCTTCCTTCCTTCTTCCTTCCTTCCTTCCTTCCTTCCTTCCTCCTTCCTCCTCCTCCCTCCCTCCCTCCCTCCCTCTCTCTCTCTCTCTCTCTCTCTCTCTCTCTCTCTCTCTCTCTCTCTCTCTCTCTCCCTCCCTCCCTCCTCCTCTCCCTCTCCCCCTCTCTCCCTTCCTTCCTTTCTTCTTAATAAATGAGAAACTTCATAAGAAACGTATCCCAGGAGAT